TCTCAGTCACTGTTGTGGTCTCTTTTATGCTTCATGGTTTATCTTGCAAATGTCATTTTTCAATTAATTCACATTTGCTTCCCTTCCTCTTGGTTATTCCCTTCTCTGTAATCAGATAATTGCATTTTTTCACCAGCATAGCTCTCATATTGTGTCACATTTTATTGTGTATTTGTCTCCCCAATACCTTGAACTCTTTGAGGGCAAAAACCTTGTCCATTCATTTTTGTGACTCAGGCACAGTTCCTTGAACATGGGATTCACTCACTTAATGAATTTCTATTTCCCTACCCATGCAGTTATGGCCTTTCTGGATACTAGATAGAGGTTTGCAGTCCTTTGTGTACAAAAGGATCCAGAGAGGAGAGGACCTATTTTAGGTCCTCTGTATATAAATATACATTTCACTTTTTGTCCACCTGAGCATATTTAAAGACTGATCAATCCACTTCCTGCCTTTTTTTGGGAAATAGAAATTTCTAGAGGTGATGATTTTAAGTTGAATAGCTTTGATGGTATTTGCCTGTCTCTCCATTGCTGCACCGATGAGCTCCTTGTGTGTGTGTAAAAATGTCTGTTAAACTTGCTTGTTATATGCCACATGCTCATGAACTAATACATCGCCTGAAATCAGATCAAATGTAGTGCTTTTTGGGTGTGAACCTCATACCCTGACATATCACACGTTAAGCTTTTTTATTTAAATAATTTTATGTTTCAGATTGTAAAGCTCCTCCAAGGCAAGCAGGATAGGCTGTTTCATGAATCAGTTAGGATAGGCTGTTTCATGAACTAGCCTATGAAAGTATAAAAATAATGAGCATGTTAAAAATTAATTACAGTTGTAAATTGATTTTCTTTTGTTGGCAGAAAGAATGTAGTGTATTAGCCTGGGAACAGGTTCACACTGTTTTAACATTCAGCACTTCCAGCTGAAGCTTGTTAGTGACTGCCTCTCAGATTAAGGGGAAAAAATCCTCACCATGGTACATGAACTCCTATTGTTAGGACATAAATAATCAGCTCATCCCCCACATGGATGAGAACAAAGAACATAATAGTACACAGAACAAAGATTAAGCAAATATTGCCCAACCCCATTTAAGAGGTAAATTAAAAATATTCTATGTATAAGGAAGTTTTCATTTTTCCTTTGTAAATGCATCAGTCATGCCTTAGGAGCTAGTCAGAAAATACTTTGGCTTTGAATTAGATTATTTTAAGTTAAAGTAAAATGAAATCTTTTAGTTAGTGTCAGTATGCTGCTGATGTTGAAAGCTAGGGAAATACCATTGTCTTGATAACAAGATGCTTCAGATTTTGTGGAGTTTATTTTCAAACCAAGAACTAGAATTTCTTTTTTTGAGGGAAAACGCCAGTGGAAACTTTAGAGGTGGAGGTTTATTTATAGTACCTTTACTCAGTTTTCCCCAATAATAACATCTTGCAAAACTGTAGTACAATATCACAACCAGGAAATCGGAGTTTATACAACCCATAGATCTTATTCAAATTTCCCACTTTTACTTGTATTCATTTGTATGTATCTTTGTGCGTATTTGGTATGTGAAATTTTAGTCCATGTGTAAGTTTGTATATTTTCCCACCGGTCATGATACAGACCAGTGCCATCATCTCAAGGACCCCTTCTTTGATAACCATACCCACTTTTCTCCTTCCCCTTTCCTCAATCCCTGGCAGCCATTAATCCTACCTTTAAAGTTTTTTCATTTCAAGAATTTATATAAATAGAATTATATAGTAAGTAAAATTTGAGATTGACGTTTTCTCATTGTAATTAAGTCCTTGAGATTCATCCAAATTATTGTGTAGGCTAATAATAGTTTGTTATTTTTTATTGCTGAGTAAGTACTCATAATATGAACGTAGCATTGTTTGTTTAACCATTCACCATTGAAGGACATCTGGGTTCTTCCCGGTTTTTTGGCTATTACAAATAAAGCTTCTGTGAAAATTCATTCTGCATGCATAGAAATAATTTTCCCAAAGTTGTATATATTTTTCAAGAACTTCTTATTCAGTTTTGCTATAGCAATATTTTAATAAACTGGCAAAGTACTTTTATTTTGTTGGTACATTTATACAGTGCATTATGGGATATTCTTCTAGACTTTGTATGTTGTTTTTGTGTTGATATGGTAAAGTTAAGGAATAACAAAACAAATATCTGAAATTGTTATTTTTTTAATGTGAAAAATCACATCCTTATTTAATTATTTAATTATTGGCTTTAATTTTTTTGTATTAGGTTTTCCTAGATCAGATCCTTTCCCCACAAATGGAGCACTTACCTTAATATTTGGAAATGCCTTTTGACTGCTACATCTTAAAATGATACTGTATTTTTTGCACAATTTACATGATTAATATATCCATGAAATCCTGGTAGAACTGACTCTCTGGTTCAACTTACTGCCTTTGGAAATTTGTTGTAATTAATGTGGTAAAAGTAATATCTGAAAATATCTGAAAATATTCATGAAATTTCAACTTAAGGGCAGATTTTGTGTTTATGAAAAATATGGAAGAAGAGTAATTTAGTATATTATTCAAGTTAAAGAATTGATCAGATATATGAGGATATTTGAAGCACAGGAAATTATAAGTTATAATTCTATTATAAAGAAATGCCACTGGCAAAGTAAAAGATAATCAGTGGTTTCTTTTATTATATATGAAAAGAAAAAGAACTAAAGAAACCTGCCATTAATAATAAAGGGAGCCCTGCCTGGTTTGGCTCAGTGGGTAGAGTGTTGGCCTGTGGACTGAAAAGTCCCACGTTCAATTCGGTCAAGGGTACATGCCTGGGTTGTGGGCTCAACCCCCAATAGGAAGCAACCAATTAGTAGTTCTTTTTCATCATTGATGTTTCTCTCTTTCCCTCACTCTTCCTCTCTAAAATCAATAAAAATATATTTAAAAAATAATAATAAAGGGAGATTAATGTATGAGTTTAAAATGACTATTACTTACTTTATTTAGCAAATGGATTGAAGTTAATGAATATATTGTGCCATAATAGACTCTTAACTCTTATGTATCTCTTACTTGTTACAATTTCAAGTCTGCTTTTATCATGATTTCCACCTGTTTCTAAACTGGGGGGGATATGAGGTTGTCTTGACTTTCAGCAATAATTACTTTTAGCAATACTTACTTTCCCCCAAAGACTCCAGTACCCCATGGCTCCCATCCTGTTCTGTCTCATCCCTTCATTCTAAAGGTCTGAAGCAACCCATATTGTAAGAGATATAACCTCAGGGCCTTTCTTTAAACCTCTTTTAAGATCTGTTTTAATATATCTTCATTTTTGTTTTGTTACTATTTGATGTGTCTTATTCTATCCTTTGACTTTTAACCTTCTGATAGTCTTCTGTTCTAGATGTATCTTTTAAGCAGTATAGAGTTGGGTTTATTTTTTCAATTAGTCAATCTTTTTCTATTATTTGTAGTATTTATTTAGTTATAATTACTGTTGTAATTTTTATATTATCTTATTTTATATTTTTTATTTTATTAAAATAAAACTACCTGTTTTATTTTCTTTGGATTTATCATTTTTATAACTTAGTTTTTCCCCACTCAGCTAATTTAGATGTACATACTCTTTTTAAAAATATATACTTCTTTATTGATTTCAGAGAGGAAGGGAGAAGGAGAGCAAGAGAGATAGAAACATCAATGATGAGAGAGAATCATTGATCGGCTGCCTCCTGCACACCCTGTACTGGGGATCGAGCCAGCAAGCCAGGCATGTGCCCTTGGCCAGAATCAAACTCAGGACCCTTCAGTCCGCAGGCTGATGCTCTATCTACTGAGCCAAGCCGGCAGGGCGTAGATGTACATACTCTTGTTTCTATTCTCTTACTTGCTATGCAAAAAATTATAATATAAATGCACATTCATACTTGAATTACCAAAGTTGAAAGTTAATGAATACTTCTGTTTTTTTCTCAGATGCCACAAGACCTTAGAACATTTCTATTTTATTTTCTCCACTTCCAATATATATTACTGGTATTGTGTATTTATCCTGTATTTATTTATTTATTTATTTATTTATTTATTTATTTATTTATTTATTTATTTATTTTAGAGAGAGGAAGGGAGAGGTATTGAGAGAAAGACATAGATGAGAGAGAAACATCATAGATCGGCTGCCTCTTGCACACCCCTTACTATTTGGATCAATCCCAAAACTTGGGCATGTGCCATGACCGGTAATTAAACCGGTGACCTCTTTATTTCCTTGCCCAAAACGTGGGTCGACACTCAGCCACGGAGCCATGTTGGCCAGGCTATCCTATTTTCAAACCCATAATACATTATTATTATTAGGTATACAAAAAAATTCATTCCTTACATTTCAGACCTTCTCAGTGGGATCTCTTCCTCTTGAAGATACAGTTTAGGAATTTAGTTGAGTAAGGGATCTTATTATAGCAAACCTTTGGTTGTTTTAGTTTAGGGTAGTCCTTCTGGTGTTTTCCTGACTAATTGGTAATCAGTTTTTAAAGCAAGACTAAGCCCATTTCAGAAGGATGTATTTCTTATTGCTTATCCATCCAGCTACCCAGCTCTGAAAAAGGTCCACATCTACATTTTAACTCGATTCTCAAGGGAGTTTACATTTGATATTCTGAGGTATTTAGAAACTCCATAAAATTATTAAGTAAAGAGAAGGAATGTGATTTATTTGAAGTTTTTTAAAGGTTAGCAGTTGTATGTGACTCATTAACGGAACCAAGCTGTCTCATGGCATCCTTAGTGACTGACTGTTAGTTTGATTAACTAGGACATTAAGCATATCTACAAATTTGTGTATACTAGTATACATTTCATAGTAGTAACATTCTTTGTACATATTTTTGTGAATTCAGTTATATATTTTTATCAAAGAAACTATAAAGTGTTTTAGAAATAAAGACGTGATGTACTCATTGCTACATTTTCTCATAACAATGCTTTCTTACATTTAGATTACCTCTCTAGTGACCTTGCAGCTATTAACCCTGGTTGGCCATGATGACCAGCTTGATGGACCAAAATACAAATGCACAATATCTCTAGACTTCATCAGAGCTATCGCTAGGTAAGCATAGAGTAATTGTGAACATAAAATGTCTTGAATTATGGAAATTATATACTAAATGTAAAAATTAATGTAATATCATTAGTTATTTAAGCAGGGAAAGAATATTTAAGTGCCACAAATGAATAAGTTTCACTGTAAAATGAACCTTCTTATCAAATTTACAAATGGCATAAAATTGGGAGAATTAGCTAATATGCTGGATGGCAAAAATTAAGATTCTTAAAGACAACAGAATGGAAAAATGATCCCATAATAGCAAGGTCAGGTATAATGACAGTTAACACAAAAAAATTCTCCTATGTAATAAAACAAGGTGGGAGAGACTTGGCTTAAGTTCTGGGTATCTGAGCTGACTACATGGTTTTATACATCCTGGTGTCTCATTTAAGGGGAGTAAAAGGTCTGTCTACTATGGTGTTGCCTTAGACAGGCCAAACCTGGTGTTCTGAGTTTGGAATTTTAAGAGGGGCATTAACAAATGGGAATATGCTGAGGAGAAGGCAGAATGACAGTGGTGGAATGAGGAGAACCATGTCTGACTGAGGAACCAGGGGTGAGAAAAAACCTTATGAAGGATATGGTAGCTGTCTCAAGTATTTCAGGGGTTGTCATGTACAAAATGAGTGGAACTAATTCTGAGTCATCATAGAGCATTAGAAGTTTTAGGAAAGAACTGTTTGTCTAAAAATGCAACGCGTTCTCACAAATAGGTATCTTTGCTGTTAGGGAAAATGTTCCAGCCATTTTATATGAGTAAATTACTTCATCTCATGGTTGCAGCTGGATAACAATCTGTTGGGACTTGTAGTAGAAGGAGTAATGTGAATATAGACTGGCATGTGGCAAAAGATAACCCATAAAACAGTGCTTCCCAGCCTTTTTGAATATGAAAATTTTATTTTAATATTCTTTTAAAATTAATCATGAGAGTATGTACATTTATTTCAAATTAATAACACATAGTCATGAAACATTACTTATTCAGGCTAAAAACAGTGCTTGACATTATGGATTTGCAGATCTCTAATGAATTAAAATTTTAAAATGTACAGGTTAGCAACCTGTACTCTTAAATCTCTTCTTAATTAAAAGATCTGTGATTATATGATGCGGTATTTGAGATATTTTGGCATATAGACTCAAAAACATGAAATAAGGTTATTGAAATGTGTTGTTGCAATAAAATTGGGCAAATTTTTACACAGAAGAAATTGAGCAAAGTATTTTTTGACTGTATTCAGTATGACCATAAGGCAATAACTTTTTATTTTCAAACAATGGTATTAATAATTCTATATATAGGAGCCTATATCAAAGGCATAGCTTTTGAATGAAGCACTTTTACTTCAGGAGTTTTGTCATTGCTTTAGGTGTGTTGAGTCGTGCCCTAGCATAATCATGAACAAGGCAGAGATTTGTGAATGCTCAGTATGGAGAGTAAGTATACAGTGAACCAAACTGAATTGGGCATTACTTAATTCACAATATCAGTGATGTTAGACCCATCCAGAGAAATGCACTTCCACTTACCACTTCAGGTGGGACGGTAGACCTGGAATCTAATATGCATCTGAAACCATGAAAAATGAGAGAAAGTACTTGCAGAGTACATAACTCCCTTTGTAAGTTAAAACTTCCTTTAGGACAATTGGTGGGGATCTGTAGTTGAGCGGTGACCTTCAGCAGCATGTGGCAGGGTTGTGGGCTCTATCCCCAGTAGGGGGCATGCAGGAGGCAGCCAATCAATGATTCTCATCATGGATGTTTCTATCTCTCCCTGTCCCTTCCTCTCTGAAATAAATATTAATATACTTCAACTAAGCAAACAAAATTTCTTTAATGTGAATTGTTTGTCTCCAAGTCCTTAAAGCACAAAGTTATCTTTGGAATATGTTACATAATTTTTGATGTTGCCCTTGTGGCTATTCTGTCAAATATTTCCATATCTTAGAATAATTTATTTGGGGATCAGTTGCCAAGTCATCTGTTTATATTGGGGGATGGTGGGATGATAAAGGTAGTCATGCATGTTGATCAGCAAATATTTTTTAAGAGTATGATCTTACATATCCTTTTCCTGATTAATTTAGTTTTTAATTAAAAAGTTTTTAACTGTATGATTCAGTTTGCTTGAATATTTCCAGGGGCAAAGCAGAATAGAATATAATGCAGCTTTTATAAATGAATGCATTTAAATGCTTAGTACTTTTAAATCAGTTCATTCATTCTATTAAAGAAAATTTTATTGCACAAACTGTGCTATAGTTGCACAAATAGATTACTAAGTAAAATAGGGAATCCTACGAGTAACAAATATTTTAATTTGTTTTTTTCTCTTCTAGTTTTAGTGCATTATACAAACAATTATGTCACAACATAATACAATTCTCTGTTCTCCTTTCCCCTCTTAATATAGGCATCTCTTCATAGTGATCATTTTGTATGGCTATGTAATATTCTATCAAATGTCTTCTAATCCCATAGTATTAGAAGTTAAATTATTTTAATCTTTAGCTTCTTCTAAACTTTCTTTTTCATCCAGTGTCAAAGAAAAATGGCATTAAAACAGCATTAAGTTTACCTTATCACTTAAGGTTTATAACCTTAAGATCCAGTCATCATGGGGAAAGGTGCCTGGAGAGATGTACAAATTTCACTTCCCTTTTTAAAATAGCTATTATATTTTCTTCTAAGATCCTCTGAAACACATCTTTTCAACCAATACCATGATTTAAATTTTAAAAATAGTGATTTGTTAGTGGTACCTTGTTGCTAGTAAGTGTTTTAGAACTGAATGAAAGAAAAACACATAAAACTAAAATAGCTTTTATGGTATATAACTATATCTTTTGTGGTTTTAGAAGATTTTAAAAATTTTAGTACCTATTTTTAGTTGTTTTATAACTGCTAGTTATAATAAGGTTGTTTTGGCAGTGTTTTTATGCATTTGGAAAGGTTAAGTATTTTTCAGAGAGGCACAGTTGTAATAAGACAATTAAGGTATTTTTCAGTCCACCATTAGGTACCACAATATCCATAGAATCTCATTTCAGCTATTTTTAAATGTTTTTTCATAAGCAGTATCTATACTTCCACATTCCAAATTTTAAAAAATATTTGCTGTCAGTCATTTGGTTAGAAACATTTTTAGAAAGTATATTATAAAATGATAGACAAAAACATTAATTGGTGATGATTTAATAAATAAGAGCATGCAATTAGTGAATCTTTAGAAGGCTATTTTTCACATGGGTGATTATTTTTGTAGAATTGAATCTTTAAAGCTTTAATTTTATACTTATTGCTAGATCATTATATCTAATTATTTTGACCATTTATTCAAATAATAAACCTCTAAGTCTGAATATTTATAGTGAAGAATGAGTTTGGAGAAAGGAAAATAATTATATGTCTTTCTCTCACTGCTATTTATTCTGCCTGCTACAAGAGTACAAAAATATACATTCACGTCGTCTGTTGTAGCGTATTCTTGGATCATACAGATTTAGTTACAATACGCACACAGGTCAGCCAGTCTTAAAAGAATAAAAATACAAATGAGGACAGATGAGCTATGCATTCTCTAATGACATAACAGGTGTTTTGGAAGATAAACAGTATTCAAAAGCAAAGAAGATTTAAATACTTTTGCATCTCTAATTACTTTATTCTGGTTATTAGACAAAAAGCAAATAGCTTTCAAATGAAATCTAAACTTTCTGCAGTATAATTTCTGCAGAATGTTGAATAGTTCTAACTTCATTTCCTTTTTTTAGAAAAACAAACTTCATGAGAGGGAAAATAAACTTTTTAAAGAAACTCTTTTCCTCGTAACATTTTGAAAAATCATTGTCAATTCTATCATGGTGCTTTTGATAGCACCATAGGATTATTCACCATCAGTTGTGAATTATTTTGCACGTGTTTCCCAGAGTCATACATGTAAAGCTGAGCAGTCTGGGGGATGAGGATGCTAACCTATTATCTGTTTTTGTTTATAGGACGGTGAACTTTGACATAATAAAATACTTGTATGATTTCTTGTGAAAACAAGCTTCAAAGCCATATGGACACTGTGACAATGACTAAGCCAAGCTGTGTTCATCCAGCTACTTAGCTGGCCAGGGAGTGGAGTTCTTTGGCTCTACTGGATTTGTCCAGACAGGTGCTGGCCCAGCATGGAATCTGATGAAAATACTCTGATTGGCCTGGGTGGATGTGAGCAGAAGACTATTTACCAGGGGCCCTGGAGTATTTGGAAGCAATGTGTTAATTATAAACAGCAGGGTTTGAGCACAATCTGTTCTACTCTTAATGATGTTATCTTAACACTGAAATTGCCTGAAACCCATTTACTTAGGACTACATTTTGCTGTGAACCATTCCCTGCTCTTTGAAGGTGCCAGCAGCCCTTGTATATAAGCCCAGTCTTTCCACTTCCTCTCCACAGGAGCCTCTGCAGTTGCTTGCCAGAGCAGATTTTCCTAAGGCCACTGTTTTAAAAGATCATAGTTGCAAAATATAATAAATAGAGGTGTGCTTTTTTTTTTGAAAATCCAAGCTTGTACGTGCGTATCTTTCACCTTGCTTTTCTTAAAAGGCCAAGGTAGTTTGATCAGATCTAGGTCAACTTTCCATCTCTAAGCCTATTTTAACTAGGGTTTATATGAGGTTTACCTGCTCATTCTTGCCATTAACTGACCCAACCTAGCTTTTTAAATACTCATGATGATTTTCTTTTTTTAATCATTGAACTTAAGTTCCACAATAAATTTTTTTCCTGTTGGATCAATGAACCTTAGGGCTGATTTTCTTGTCTGTTCATATTTTTAAAGCAGCTTTCTGTTAGCATTTGAATATTTGGAAATTGTTTTGTGCAGATTTTAAGTGCTTAATTATAGAGCCTAGTTTAAATTTCAGTGGCATTTTATTCTCTCATTCCTTTCTTGAAGAAAAAGGCTCACAGTGAGTACTCCTGGATAGGAAGCCTTTTAAAAATGTAGTGGTTATCTGACACTTTCTGGATCTCAGAAAACAAGTAGTTGTCTACTTATATTTATTTAGTGGTAATGAATAGAGGGGGAAAAATTGAACTTCCTTTGTTTTTCTCTACATAAGACAGCAAGGGAAGACTTTCTTGCCCAAAAGATGGCATCCACAATGAGTGATAGAGCACCCTCACCCTGAGTCTCTTGTTCCACAGAAGATGGTGAAATTTTTTTTTCTACAAGATGTTTAAAGAAGCCAGAGTCAGGGCAAAGCCATGTGCATTGAAAATGCATGCTTAGATTTCCTGCACATGGAAATCCCTGTGTCATTAGAGAGGAAAGAGTCAAGAAATAAAATTACAGTCAAGCTGCTAAATTATTAAAATGAAGTAGGTTGAGGCAAGAGAAAACGATTGTATCTTGTTTTAGCCTGCAGACTTAAAATTTGAATTTTTAGTAGTCTATCAATGTCTTTATATATATCCTGTGTGTAGATCATTCTCTGAAGAACATAGGAAAGAATGTTCATGTGTCCAGACCACCTGACACCTGTTATCCAGATCACCTGACATCAGTTATCCAGACCACTAGATAAAGATTACCATTTTGGATCAATCCAGAAGTTAAGAATGCAGGACTGATTTTTTTTTTTTCTTCTTCTTTCTTAAGAATATACTTTTTACTCTTAAGAGCTCTCAATTTTTTTCTTTTCTTTGGAACACTTGATATTGTTATAATTTAACCCAATTATTAATTAACTGGAAAGGAAGAGAGGGAAGGCCAAATATTACATACATGCCCAATAAATCCTAGAGGAGAGTGCTTGTCAGTCATACCTGGGAACAGAGCATTAGTAAGAGGAGTCATATAGACATGACCACTCCAAGGGCTGGAGATTTAATATTTAAACTCCTAAACAAAAAGGTTCGTATTGCTCTTGCTGCTGATGCCTGACTCCTGGCTTGCAGGGCTGTTAAAGCTCTGTCCTCGCCCAGTGGCCGACAGCTTTGTGGACTCCACACATCATGGACTGATGGACTGGAATTAGTCTAATGCTTTGTCAGACTCTCCACCATGGGAAGGAAACCCTGAACACTAGCTTTATTTAGTTGGGCTGGATTCCCAACCACCTCTTCCAGGACTGGATTAAGGTAAATGGGACTTTGGAAACCGTGGGATATAACTACATGCAAATAAAAATCATTTATTCTCCCTTGTGAGATTAAAAAAACATTTTTTTTCAAGGTACCATAAAAACCTGGCCCCCTCCACCCAGTGGGGAAAGGGATCCCCAACTTCCATTGATAACACTCGGCTATTACCTGGTAGTATTTCCAATTTGCAAATCCTTAAATAAAATTTTGCTATTTTTAATTTTAACAAAGTCAGATTCATTTATGCTTGGTTGAAAGTTGGGTAGCTGATTCCTGGAAGAGCAATGCCATTGGGAAAGTGTTCAGCCCTCATAGTTTGTTATAAAGTGGTTGGTTGCTGTGCAGGCTTTTTGGATAGTCTGGGACCGGTCTCCATTTGAAGGGAAGGACTAGAATATCAGGAGGGGCAGAGATTGTCAAATAGGGAACTAGGGAGGACAGAAAGGCAGTTTCTTGTGACTCCCCATGGATTTTCCTCACTGTTGGCCACCTGTCCACTGCCTAGCACGTTACCTATCTCCTATGCCCTACACTGAGCTACACTGCAAAATACCTTGTAACTAGATTTTCCTGCTCCTGACTAGACCATCAGTCAGAACTTTCCTGTTTTGTAATTTACTTCTAATGGCTGCTAAATAAATCACTAATTTGATTAATTTATTTAAATGAAGACTTAACGGCATAATATGGGTATTAGCATTTTACAAGGATCATCTGCAAATGACTTCTCTATGGGAATTATGCTGGTTGGTGAGTCAGATATTTCCTTTAAGGGAGGACGTTCTTAGATTATACTGGGCATCTATTCTACCCACTAAAAGTGACTGAAGTAGTAGAAGAAGGAAGTTACCAAGCTGTGGGTTTTAGATTTTTTTTGTATGAGGTTAATCCTTTTTAAAATGTCTTCTTTCAATTACCATGATCCAGGTATACATAGTGAGGTGGAGACATTACTTCCTCTTCCCTTTATTAGGTCAATTTCAATCCTTGAATTCGCCGCTGAAACAATTCCTTTTTAATAACTTGAGGAATTGTGAACCAAAACCTTTTTTTTAAGCCCTAAAGTCAGAAAGGTATCAAGTTCCTTAGGCAGCAGTTAAGAGTGCTCTTAGAGTCAGACTCATTTGTATCAAATCCTGGTTGTATGTCCTACATGCTGTGTGACTTTAGACAAGTTATTGAATCTCTCTGCCTGTTTTCTCACCTGTACAGTGGAGGCTAGAACTACTTCGTGGGGTTGTTTAGGGAATTAAATAAACTATATATTTAAGGCAGTAGTTCTCAACTAGGGGCAGTTTGCCTTCCAGGGAACATTTATAATTTCTGGAGACATTTTTGTCACAAATAGGTGCAAGTGGGGAGATAGAGTCCTGGGATGTAGCTAAACCTCTTAAACATTTCCCACAACAGAATTATCAGGACTACAGTGTCAATAGTGCTGAAGTCAAGAAATTCTGAATTAATTAAGGTACCTGTCACATAATAAGTGCTTAATAAATGTTAGATACTGTTGTTATGAAATACTAGAGGCCTGGTGCACAAATTCATGCACCACTGGGGTCCCTCGGCTTGTCCTGTGGGTTTGGGCCGAAACGGTTCTCCGACATTTCCCAAGGGGTCTCAGATTATGAGAAGGTGCAGGCCAAGCCGAGGGACCACACAGGTGCACTATCAGGGCTGGGGAGGGACTGCAGGAGGGCTCCAGGGCATGTTTGGCTGGATCCCAATAGCAAGCTAACCTACCAGTCAGAGCATCTGCCCCCTGGTGATCAGTGCATGTCAGAGCTAATACTTGAGCAGCCTTAGCATATTATTAGCATATTACGCTTTAATATTGAAAGGCTGTCTGGTCAACCGACACTTAGCATTTTAGGCTTTTATTATATAGGATTTATTTGTGGCCTAGAAAGAAAGTGAGAATGTGGTAACATTTCAACCTAAAAGAAGTACTTGCCGAAACTGGTTTGGCTCAGTGGATAGAGCATCAGCCTACGGACTAAAAGGTCCCGGGTTCGATTCCGGTTGAGGGCATATTCCTTGGTTTCAGGCACATCCCCAGTGGGGGGTGTGTAAGAGGCAGCTGATCGATGATTCTCTCTCATCAGTGTTTCTAACACTCTATCCCTCTCTCTTCCTCTCTGTAAAAAAATCAATAAAATATATTAAAGAAAAAAAAAGAAGAGATACTCTAACCTAACTGTACTTATAAAAATTATTGTTTAAAATTTGGGAATTACTTTTTTTTAGTTTTTTAAAAAAAAATTTTCTTTTTTCCTATCACCATTTATCCTGCTTTCATGAAGTTTACAATTTAGCAAATAACCTTAGGATGATAAAAGAAATCCTTGTTTTTGCAAGTTGATTCTACAAACCATTTCCAGTGAGAAAAATCAGCTTCCACCTTTATACATAAAAGAAAAATGCCATCATCTCGTATATCCAGGACACACAGCACCCAAGAGTTTCAAGGCTGGGAGAGAAGTTTCTAGAAAGAAACTCAGATCTAGTTTTGGTCTCTAGAAATTTCATTTCTCTGATATCAGATGAATCCAGCTTCTATCTGGGATGAAGTTGAACTACAGGCTCTATCAACTATCTAGCATCATCTCTGCCTTTGTGGTCCTGTCAGCCTGTAACTATTCCTACTGAAAAGGTCCAGATCTGCAGCAGATGTAATAGAGGCTTTCAAATAATGCTTCTGGGTTGGTCACAGCGTGCTGAAGAGCCACGCCCATCTTTAACCAATCTATCGCCAACAGGAGAGAGAGTCCAATTTTGGAATTATTTAAATTGATACAGTACCTGGTGGTGTTATTTTTGGAATGGAAGGATTATGTAGTGGGTTCTAATCCACATGCAGATTTCATTACTTCTTTTTCAGGATCTTGTTGAATAGTCAAAAACC